TAAAGTTGCTTGGTAGAGTTGGAAGACAAGTACAAGGTTGGGCGAGGAAGACGATGTTTTTGTCTGTTTTTTTCCCTTTTAATTTATTGAAAACGCGTTTCATTTGATTTGATATACGATGGTTACAACCGGTAGTTTTAGGAATAATTAATATGGTGGGGACATGTTGGATGGGAGGACTTTGGGGGAGGAAGCATATGGCCATATATGAGACCCGGGGAAACCACGTAAVACGATGGTAAAAATAAAAAATTTAAGCTAGTCAACAAATGTTTTTTGTTTTTGACTGGGGGCCTTTCCCCGTGCTGAGAGATTGGATCCGCCCCTAGTTACAATTACTATGTTTATTTTTTCCGAAAAACTTCTGATTTATTTTTAATTTAAAAAACATATGAGTTGAAAGAATATGATTTATTAATATCATTTTATTTAGCATAGTATATATAAATCCACAAATTTATGTATATTAAGATAATAAATTTGACATAGATCATGTAAGAACCTATTTTATGAGTTAGTGTTTTTCACATAAATTGATCTGATGTATCTCATTAATATTGATCTTCAATAAAACGTGTGATTTTTATCCTGTCATCATATTTTCATTTTCAACAGAACCCAACCTATTAATCCACTTTAACGTGATCGATTTTGATTTTAAGTTACTTCAAATGAGTTTGTAACATAGACCTAACAAAAAAAAATTCAAAAAAAGTGAACTACAAATTCTCGATTGCAAACAAGATCCATGAACCTTAAAATCCATGATTAAGGTCCTCGTGGTTTTACTTTTGTTATGGAGTCGGTCTCTAACATTATATATATTATACATACTAGAATGGTACTCGTATAGTATGTATAATATAGCGAGATACATCTCAATTTTAATTTTTTATTACTATATATCTTTGTCGATATAATACGGTTTTTAGTGGTTTTGAGAAAACGATAATGTTTTTATTTTTAAATAAAATCTAAATTTAAGGATATCACAAAATTTGGAAAAAAAAATTATATTGATAATAGTATCAAATTTACTATTTCAAGTTATGATTTTTTTGTGTAATTCTTTTAATTCAACATTTTATTTATAATTTAATTTAGAATTAATAACAAAGTTAATTTATTTTTTGTTTAATAATACTATAATGGTACTCGTGCAATGCAGGGAGATACATCTTGATTTTAATGTTTCG